TATAAAGTATTTGAACATCTCTAAATGTAATGGCCACTGGTTCAAAAGATGCAGCTTTTCATACTCCTTCACATGGTATCGATATCTCTATTTGACCAAATTTCCGATATTCGTCCTTTTTTCCTAAGACGGCAGTGTTGGTGGTTGCTTTCCCTCCTTATCTCCGGCAAGCAGCTCCCAGCAAGCCCACTGTCAGAACCTTTGTGCCGGCCAACTGCTGGCAGCGGCTCGGGCACATTCCTTTATGACAACTTCGACGTCAAATTGCTTTTCGAAATTTGCTGAAATCAGGGCTCTTTTACCCGGGGTTTAATCATTGAATGAAAAACTATCAAAATAGGTTCGTTGTTTTGATTTAACGCCCAATTAAGTGACGTAAATATCCCTCTTAGATTTCATACCAAAAGAGGGCCCCAGCATAGTAGGTTTACCCTCCTTGGAGATAATGAGTTTAACACTTTGCAGTCACTCAGCCAGCAGTACAAAATACCCCGTCTCGTCACCCAGCCAGGAAAGTGACTGCAACGGACTTCTCGCAGGTGACCAGAACAGATAATTTTCACCGTCGCATTATTGCGCCAAGTGAAGGCAAAGTGTTAAGTAGCCTAATTGCATTGATAGGGGAGGAAAATATCAAGGATTACGTCTTCTGTTTTCTCACCAATATCTCTGGCGGGGGCCGTGTGATGGTGGGCAGGACATAGACGCACTCGGCAGGGAAGGATCCCTTCTTCTGGGTGTTGACGTGTTGACCCGCGCACCAGCCAGAGTTCATGACCGTCTCACCGTTGTCAAGGTCAAGGATGATCAGGTCGCCCTTCTTCAGGCTCAGGATCGACGGGTCCGCTGGGAGAAAAAACAATAGTTGGAGGTTTTTCGTTTGAGAAAAGAGTAACAATCTTCAGGCTCAAAATTGATGTGTCGCCTGAGAACTAAAATGGAACAATCGCTGGGGTTTCTTGATTGAGTCTAGAGAAACTAACCACCACAATAACAGTCATTTCATGATCGACAGCTCCCCTGAAAACCATAACATTTACATTCGTTGGGTTTTTTTAATCAAAATTAAATAAAGATAAGCTCATCGACACAATAACATTTCACTACCTCAGAATTACAAAGTTCTATTTGCTCAGTACCTAGTTTTGAGTTTCACATCACGTCAAGTTTTTTCGAAAGCAATTCTTTGAATATCTTGATAACGACTCTGAAAAATCTTACAATTTTCATAGAGCAGATAGAACATTTGGTTTCTGTCCTCATGGTCTTAGTAACTCAAAACAGCCAAAAATGTCAGTTAGAACTTTGTAATTTTGAGGTAGCAATTTGTTGGTTCAGGATCGACCGGTTCCCAAAATGGACCAGTACGTAGAAGAACGTTGCTCTATACCACTCACATAGGTTCTCGTAATTCTGTATGGCAATGACGAACTTTGACCGCTTCTTCAGACCCTCCAGGAAGGTCACCACAAGGTCACGGATATCCTCGGCGTTGGGCGAAGTGAACGTGTACTCATCTCCCTTCACCGTGGCTAGCGTGAAGCTCTGACCGTGCATTTTGCCCGTTCTGAAGACACAAGATTACAAACAAAGTGTTGGATTAAAATCCATGGGGGAATTTCGTTTCAGCACGAGCGTTACGGCACTAGCAACACAACTGAGCCTTTGCTTCGTTTTAGTTTTAGTAAGGGCCTCAACAGCACAAAGTCTGCTTCGACTATCAAGGCACCCCGGAAATAGCGGGTCACAAGAGTGTGACAGACACACAAATGAAGAAGAGTAAAAATGACCATAGTAAGGATGAGGAAAGAAGAAGCAGCAGTTCCCCCATGTTGTTCCGGCACAGTATGAGCATGACAGTGATAAATCAGCCCATTTACAATTCTACTGTGCATAAGAACATGTTACTATCCCCCATTTGGGAAGCTTCTGCTTCTGTAAATGAACCAAAAGCAAAAAAAACCCAACAAAAACAACTGAGCCTCTACTTCTGTAAAAGAGCACACACAAAAAATGAAACAAAACAAAAAAGTTTCCAATTTCCTCAAATCCCTCACCTCGAACTGGAGACGGCCGTGATCTCAGGGAAGGACAACTCCAGCAGCACAGCCTCCTGGTCGTCAACGACGTACACGCCCGTCCAGTTCACCGCGATAATAACGTCGTTCTTGGGCAGGCTGGGCCCAGAGAACTTGTAAGCCTCGTAGAAGCGCGAGAACAGCAGCGGCCACTTGTACTTGGCGTAGCTCACTATGTCCTCTTTCACCTGGTGGGAGGGTGGGGGCAAAATTTGAAGTTTTAGTTTTGTTTTAGTTTTAGTAAGAGTTTTATGGCACTTGCAACACAATAGGGTCATATAAGTTCCAAAGAATAGATTTTATGTGCTACAAGAGAGTAACATACACAAAAAAAGGAGGGGAGATAAAGACGACAGATGTTTGATAGGAAAGGAGCACATCACACCAGAGCACCCGCCAACCACCCACAATTTGAAGTTTAACCATTCTGGTTTACCTTTTCAGGGCTGAACCAATTCCCTTCCAGAGTGCAGAGTCGATTTAGTTTAAGTAAGAGTTTTATGGCACTTGCTAATTCCTCCCTGACAGAAATATGCAACGTTTGACCCACTATAAGAGATATGTGCACAACCTATATTTTTTTCATTATGGAAACTTTAACAAATGAGTGTCTTCTATGACGTGATGTAGGCCAGTGGCCTTAAACATTTAATACACTAACTGACTATGGCACTTGTACAGCCATGGAGAGGTAAAGCCTCCTAGATAAACTCATTTAAACCCCCACCCCCCTTCCCCCCCAGTTTGATAATCCTACTTTAATTTTCCTAATTTCCACGGCCAAAATTAAATCAGCAGTAAAAAAAATACAACAAAAGGAGGAATTAAAAACAAAAACAAAACAACAACAAAAAACCCCCAGAGAAATCAAAAGACAAATAAAATCAATCCCCCCGGTGTACCTTGACGGGCTCAATCTGCTTGTTTCTGAAGTAGTCGGAGTGCAGTTTGTTGATGATGCTGTTCATCCACCAGTTGACGGCGTTGCCTTTCTGCAGGTACGAGTCAGGCACGTACGAGGAGAGCAGCGTCTGCAGGCGCGCCGGCTCTACGTCAGTGCCGTACTCGATGAAGTACTGCTGGGCCGAGATCATGGCGAGGTCCTCATCCTGGGATGGAGAGAGAGGGAGAAGGGAGGGTAAGGTGGATGGATGGATGGATGGATGGATGGCGTACTCGATTAAGTACTGCTGGGCCGAGAGAGATCATGGCGAGGTCTTCGTCCTGTCGGGGGAAGAGGGAGGGGTTAAATGGATGGAAGGATGGATGGATGAATGGATGGATGCCGTACTCGAT